GAAAGACCACAGAGAAAGGCACAGGTATATAATGGATCATAACACGAGAGACTATAGTTCTGTCATAAGCTTCTGTTCCTCTCACAACTGTGTAAATCCACCATTTTTATCTTTAATTATTGCAATGGGCCTATAACTTAAATGGTGATAGAAAAATTGAGAACTGAATAAAGTAAAATATTGAGGGGGCACAAAAAAGGGAAGAGTTAATGGTTTGGATATATAGATATGTAATAAGGTACCCCCAAAACTTACAAGTGTAAAACAGCAGACATTGTTTCTCACAGTTCTGTGGCTGCTGGGGGCTCAGCCCAATGGTTCTTTTACCAGTCTCTCTTGGGATCTCATAGATGCTGCAGTTAGATGCGAAGTGGGGCTGGAATATCCAGGATGACCACTTATATATCTTCTGCTCTTACCCTCTGGGTGCTAAGAGGGGCAGCTGGAAGGGTGGATCGCCTGATGGATGTCTAGACCTGTCTATGTATGTAGTCTAAGAGGCAGGACCTCTCTAGTAGAGTGGTGACTCAGCTTGCAGGAAAGCTCAAAAGTGCAAGCTGCCAGCCATTGGCACAGCATCACCTCTGCACATTCTGTTGGTTAAAGGGAGTCACAGGGCCTGCCCTGATTCTTTGTGAGTAGGGACTGGAAGAAATGTTTGTTGGGGACCAACTTTGTACACTACGTTAGCTCTTCATAAATTATGACAAAAGCATCAAGGAGTACTAGTTTAAAAAAAAATTTTTTAACAGAAGCATTGGTGAATCTCAGGTAAAATATGAGTCTTTTGGCTAGTTGGTTAGAATATATAAACTTGTAAAAGACACTGTTAGCTGGACTTGGTTGCATACACCAAGCCCAGCACTGGGGAGGCTTAAGAGGATTGCTGTGAATTCAAGGCTAGCCTAGGCTACATAGTAAGTTCAAAGTCAGGCTAAACTATATAGTGAGGCTCTGTCTCAAAGGGAAAAAAAAAGCACTGTTGGGAAGAATGCTATGGAATGCCATGTAGCTGGCTGGTTTGAATGTATTTTTGCTATTTATTATTGGTGAAAGGGAAAAGGATGTCAAAAAATTACTGGATGTATATTAAGCTTAGTCACTAATGTAAAAATAGCTCTTAACTTCTGAGCAAGAGAAAATATGATAAAATTATGGAATTGTTCGATGGTTTGGGGGTTTCAGAACTGAAATTTATATATATATTTTTTCAAGATAGCTTGCCTTTTTTCTCATTCTTTTTTTATAATATTTGTGATTGGGAATATATATTGATCAAGTATTCATTTTACATCTTTTTTCTTTCCTCTTAAGCCTGCACAACCTGCTGATGAACCTGCAGAAAAAGCTGATGAACCAATGGAACATTAATAAACCAATGTCTATGTGTATCATCAAATATGTCAGAATGCAGGAACACGTACTGATGACAGTAATCTGTACTATGAACCAAAAGTTGCTGTGTTGAATGGTATGTCTTAGGAATCAGTCCAGATATGTTTTTTCCAACCAACCTCTCTGAAACCCTATAATGAGGTGCATTTTTCTTTGAGGGGGCCTGTGTAATCATTTTCTAAAAAGTATAGATATACCATTGTTTTTATATGAAGAAAATAGTGTCTTTGCAGTTTTAAAGACAACTGTAAAATAAAAGTGTTTCACTTCCTGGTGTGTTGATTTTTTTTTTTTAAGTAGTTTCAGTTTACGAATAGTAGTCTAGGATTACAGCTAGTCATTTGCCATGTTTGCCAGATTTTATTGCCTTGTTTTTAGTTTTATGGGAAAGTATCTCTTATCTACTTGTGTTATAAAAATTTTCCAGTGAATAAACTGACTGCATAAAAATCTGTGGAGATTTGGTTCCAGCTGGGCATGATGGTGCACACATGTAATCCTAGCACTGGGGAGGCTGAGGCAGGAGGATCGCCAGCCTGGACTACATCTATGGAGATTTGGTTCAGGATACAAATTTCACTATACAGATTTGGAGATTATTCTATTTAAATCTAGGAAACCACAGCTTTCCAACAAATGTAGTAAGATTGGGCTAGGAGTAGGGTTCATGTGGTAGGGTTCATGCTTAGTTCACTGTAGGCGGATTCAATCCGTAGCACCGAAAAAGGAAAGAAAATAGCAAGGTAATGAGCATATGAAAAGTTTTTTTTGTTCATCCAGCAGATGGCAGTAACTGATCTCCAGAAACTTTCACAGAAAGTTTCACAGGCCTCATCCTGCCCAGCTCCACTACAACAAAATCTGTATGCTACCTCTGTTATTCCCATGAGCTGTATACTCAAGTATTGCAGAACAGTTTTTGTCTTAGACCATGCAAAATTAAATTACAGGGAATTATTTTTGAAAATCCAAAATTCTGGTATTATAAACACTAGAGTAGTACTCCATTGTGTATAAGTACATTTTCTTTATCCATTTATCTGTTGGTGGACATACAGGCTTCTTCCAAGATTGAGCCATTCATTATGAGTTGTGCTGCTATAAACATGAGTATGCATGCATCACTGTAGAAATACAGCTTTAACTCTTGGGAAGATACCTACAAGGGGAGTAGGTGGCTCGAATAGAATTTCTAGTTTTAGTTTTTACTTTGGGTTTCTTATATAAGAGAAATCATGTGATATTTAATCTTCATCTGATTTACTTCACCTGTCATGGTCTAGGGGTGCATCCATTTTCCTACAAATACCTCAGAGGTATCATTTATGGCTGGTAGTACTCCATTGTTACACCCTAACTGTAGTACTTAAAATTCTCCCTGCCACAATAACACTCAACCTCATTACAAAGCTCATTATGATGCCTTTTATCTTTTCTCTAGTTTGTTATACTCTGTCCATTATTTCATTTAATCTGCATTGAATAATTATAAACAGATATATGCCTTTTCATATTTTAATATTTTCCTTAATAACTCAGGCTTGTGATTAAACTTACAGTTCTTAACAGTGAACCTCTGGGGCTACTAAAGTGGATACAGTTAATCCTAGGCCATGGTGGCTCTAAACTGCAGTTTTCTTACTGCTAAATCTAATCTTTCTACTTTGGCCTCATTTCTTGCTGAGAGACTGTCACTTCTTGGTAATTAAGTAGGCTTAGAAACCAGATAACTACATTTGTGAAGTTTCCATGTTAAAAATGAATGCATGGAGAAGGAGCAAACTGTTGGAACACATTTTGGATTGATTTTAGGAAATTATGCTGAGTAAAAGAAAGCCAATCTCAAAAGATTACATTGTATAATCCCATTTATATAACATCATTGAAGTGGCAAAAATTATATACAGAAAGAACAGATTTGTAGTTGCCAGGGGATACAGAAGGAGGTGGCTGTGACTATGAAAGCATGAGGGATTCTTGCGATGCAACTATTGAGTATCTTGATAAAATTGTCTAGAAATACATGTATGCATATTAAACTGGTGAAATCTGAATAGAATGAAGGAATTATATGTCAACTTCCTGGATTTTATATTGTATTATAATTATGCAAGATGTTAACAGGAGAAACTGGGTGAAGAATGTATAAGATCTCAGTATTCATGTCACCCTACAGTTACCTTGATAAAAAAGTGTTTTTTAAAAAGTAATGCACGGCCCTACACTTGACCCAGATGTCCATAAGTAGGCATTACCCAGGAAAAGGGGAAGTGTGTGGCCAAAGACTTGCACATGAAAGCTAATTAAAGCAGCGTCATAATAGCCCTAAACTGGAAACTGGAAAGCCTGTTTGCACGAGGACTGGATAAACAATGGAATATTAAGCAGAACAAAGCATGAACAAGAATTAACAGGACAAGGTCGATTAATCTTAAAGTAATTATGAAGTCAGAACAACAAAGACAAGAGTTTGTGCTGTGCAATTTTTATATACAATTCTGGAAAATGCCAACTAGTTTATAGTGATAGGAAATGGACTAGTATTTGCCCAGAAATGGGGGTACAAGGAGTGGATAATAAAGAGGACATGAGTAGTCTACTTTTAGTAGTGATGGATATAATCATATTTTGATGATGATGGTTAGTTCGTGGTCAAAATTTCTCAAATTTTGAGCTCTAAATGTGGGCAGTTATGGTGTTTTCATGACATTTTAGCAGACAGAAAAGCAAAGATAAAACACCAATGGACACCATCTCTGGTCACATTTTTAGTTTAATAGGGAAACAAACATCTTTAAGAGCTGAAAAAAATGCACAGAATCAGAGGCGCACTCATAATTAAACTACTATAAACGTGTGGCCTTAGAAGTGACAAACCTGACCTCTGAATCCACAATGTATTGCTTAACCCTTAAAGTGTCTGTCATTAATAGTAATTGACCAGAAAACTTGAGGGAGGAGGGGGGTAGGAAGCAGAGGGTGGGATATGTAACTCCAGGTGGGCAAAATCGAAGGTTCTTTGGGTGATTAGAACTGTAACAGGTCTTTGGAGATGGGTAAAATCCTTTAAGAATGACTGTCGCCCTCTATGCATAAATGTTTTAATCTACCGGGTGCTCAGAAAGGATGACGAAAGGGACCATTACTAAAGAAAGAGCAGAAAGTACACCCATGTAACTTTTGGTATTTAAGCAACTGCAGTTCAACTGCAAAGAGGCTCGAGAGAGATGGAGATGTTAAGAACTGAAATGGATCTTCATATTAACCGAAAAAACAAAGGAAAAAAACAAACCCGAAATTAGTTTCCCAATAGTAATTAGTTATCTTCTCGGTTTAGCTCAGGGAGCTAACAAGAAAAGTGTTTGCTGGGCTTCCAGCTCGCAACCCAGGGCTCTTTTCCTCTGGACCACACAGCCCAGTGAAATTGTTTCCTCTGTCTCCAAACCCCTCCTCCTTTTGTTCGAATTCCTGGAATAATTGCCGAGTAACTTTTATACGACTACAGCGCTTAAATCAACTCTTGGCTTACAGGGAAAACTTAATAAATATGTGCTTCCACTCTGCTCTGCGACCTAACCAACAGTAGACAAGAGACGAAAATAGGGCACACTTGCAGCGCGCAACCGCAGGACGGAGAAGACATGTCCTTTCTGAGTCGCCGTAGATCCTAGGTGGCTCCGGCTCCGGTCGTCTCTCCACCCCCTTCCACGTCAGCCAAGGACTCCGGCTCCGTCGCCGCTGCAGCTGGTGGGAACAGAGGTAGACGGTTCTGGGGTTTCCCCAGCCGCTGCCCCTCGAAGCAAGGTAGCAGGCCCTGAGCCCCCAATCGCAGAGGCGTGGTGGGTTGCGCAGAGTCGGAAGAACCTGCCTTCCCTTCCAGGCAGCCAAGGCCCCGGAGCTTAGGCCGCTCGCGTCGCGGCCTGGCTCGGGGAACGGCAGCGTGGGGCGCTGGGATGCCCGCACTCGTCCACGCTCTGGTCCGGGATCTTTTCTCTCCCGAGCCCCTGGGCTCGCCCTTGTTGGTCGGGGCTGCTTTGCCAGAGGCGGGAAAGAGGAAAGGGGTGGGGTGGGGGTGAGTCGCGCGGTTCCGGGACGCGAGCTGCGGAGTCGGGACCCACTGGCCGCCGCGATGAAGTGATTTACCGTTTTGCAGCGTATCCTCACACAGACTCGTTCACCTCAGCAGTTCACGTTGTGTGTTATCTTAGAAATCACTGTTCTGTAGCACGGAGGGGTGGGGCTGCAGCACTGTCACTGTTCTGTGGGCCTCCTGAACCAGTCTCAAATCCTAGGCGGAGTTGAGGGGGGAGGAAGTGGGGAATAAGAGATTAAATACCCAGTTCAGGGCTGGCTGGTGTGTTTTTTTATTAAAATGTATTTTTATGGAAACAATATAGATGGACAGCATTCGCGAGGCTGAGGCAGGAGGATCGCCGCGAGTTCGAGGCCAACCTGAACTGCATCGCGAGACCCTGTCTCCAAAAAAAGAAAGAATAATAAATGGAGTTTCCTAATACTTTTTAAACTCATAAGTTAGACTGAATGAACTTTAGACAATAAAGATCACTAATGATTTGTGGGATTTTTAAAAAAAACTTGTAAATGATGTCGTTGTATTTATTTTTTTAGATTTCCTGGCATCTGTCATCCTAAATCTTGTATCAGGGGATTGACTATAACCAGAAACCATGACGGCAGCTGAGAACGTGTGCTATACGTTAATTAACGTGCCAATGGATTCAGAACCACCGTCTGAAATTAGCTTAAAAAATGACCTAGGTGAACTTTCTTAAATTTTTAAAATTAAACTGAAAAGTAAAAACACAAATTGTACACAGTGGGGTACCAGGTGATATTTTGATGCATGTATATAAATTGTGTGTTTAAGTCACGTTAAACACCTGTTTCCTCATTTATCATTTCATTATGGTGAAAACATCCCAAATGTTTTTAATCTAGCTTTTAAAAATCCTCAGTACATGATTGTCATCTGTACTCTGCTGTTCAGTAGCACACCAGGCCTTCTTACTCCTACCTAACTGTAACTTAGTATCCAGTAATCAGTCTTTACCCTCCCTCTCTCACCCCAGAAGCTCCTCAGCCTCTGGTAAACACTATTCTACTCTCAATTTTTATGGTGAACTAAGTAAACTTTGGTAGTATTTGAGGATGATATGAAAAAAAAAAATGAAAATTTTATCATGTTTCATGTTCCTTGATAACTAGAAATGCGTACAGGGCCAGGGATTTAGCTTAGTGGCAGTGTGCCTGCCTCGCCAAGCGCAAAGTCCTGAGTTCACTCCCTGGTACTGGGGAAAAAAAACACAATTAAGAAATGTGTAACTTTTGTCTTAATTTTTTTTGGAATGTCTTCAATAGTCTTATGAAATAGTCTTATGAAAAGTTGTTATGTTTAGGTTCCCAATATTGTTTTATGGAAATAGAATTACATCTAAGTTTATCGTAGTAGAGCTAAGGAATTATAATGCTTCCGTATTTTATGTTGCTGCCAGTTCTCTGTGGGTAATGGGTGAGACTGTGTATCGGGATTTACTTCATTTCCTATGCTTCACATCTAAAACCCAAAAACTTTATCCCTTGGGTTCCTACCCAAATAAGCCCTGGAATGAACATGTATTTTCCCTAAAGGTTTAAGTTTTTCATTTGGAAAGCATTTTTTGCAAAGAAGAAAAGTACTGTATTTCTTAATTTTAAAAGTGCGGTGTCTCCTTGAAAAGTGTAATACCACAAGGTCTCCATGATGCACACCTGTAACCCTAGCACTTGGAAGGCTGAGGCAGGTGGGTCACAAGATTGAGTCTTGCCTGGGCATTTAGTGAGACCCTATCTCAAAAAAAAAAAAAAAAAAAAAAAGACTAGTGAGGGCCAGGGATTTAGCTCAGTGGTGCCGCCGCCTGCCCGCAAGCACAAGGACCTGAGTTCGATCCTGGTACCAAAACAAGGCTAGTGAATGTAGCTCAGTGGTAGAGCACCCCTGGGTTTGATCCCCAGTGTCACACACGCATACACTGGGTGAGTGATTCAAGAAAAATGTTAAGTGCTACACTTTCCAAAGTATTCTTATTTAGTTAAACTACAAGAAGTAAATCGATAAAGTACTGTTTTAAACAGTAAAAGGAAGATTATGGTTCAAACATTGAATGTATCTTCCCCCCCCCAGTAGCTGGGATTAAACTCAGGACCTTACGCTTGAGAGGCAAGTGTGGCGTCACTGAGCTAAATCTCCGGCCCCTACTATAGATTTGTCAACGAGTTTGCTATTAAACATACTTTGAAAATTTTTAAAACTATTGTTACAAGTGTTAATTGTTACAAGTTCTAGCCTCCTAAACTTTTAAGAATTTACTACTGTGTGAAAAATATTTAAAAACTGGAGTAAAAAGCCATCAGGATTACAGTGATACAGTTTTATGGTTTTGGACTTTGTGCCCTTTGTATTATCAAACAGGAAAAAAATTTTAAAAATCAGAAAAGGAACTTTGGGATGAAGAAAAGAAAAACCTGTCTAGGCTCAGTGGATACATCTTTAGCCATTTAGAACTTTGCAATTAGTCCAAATACCTGAGGGTATTCTCTGTTCTGCAACATGGAAGGATATTAACCTGATGATAATAAATAGCTTCTGGAGGCTAGAAAGGACTTCAAGGACTTTTGATTTACCTGGAACAATTTTTCTGAAGCTTAAGTCTTTCCTCTAACCCTACCAAGTGATCAAGCATAGTGTGTCTCTTTAGCAACAGGAATTCTTTGTTCTTTTTTTTTTTTTTTTTTTCCGGGCATCGAATTTATCGAATTTAGCCTCAGCAACAGGAATTCTTAATAGCCACTTAGGTCTAATTGTCAGAAAATTATTTCTCATAGGCCCAAATGTACTTCCTGATAACTTCTCACTTTTCAGTTCTAATTCTCCTCATGATAGCACTAGGTGTTTTGTCTTGTTTTTGTGGTACTGGGGATTGAGCCCAGAGCCTTCATACTGAGCAAAATCCCTAGCCCTTTTTATTTTTTGAGACAAGGTCTTGCTTGCTAAGATGGCCAGGCTGGGCTCCAACTTGTGATCCTCCTGTCTCAGCCTCCCCTCCAAGAGTGCAGGGATTAGGTGTGCCTAGCTAGCTCGGATTATAGGAGTTTTGTTATGTGTCCCTCTTTGTCTTTTCCCAGATAATTATCTGGTTTTTTGGTCTAAACAATTATAGTATCAGTGCACTTGTCTCATATTTCTGCCTTTGAATTTTGAATCCAAAAAGATTTTTAGTGCCATAAATTTTTCAATGTGCAGTGATAATAATATGAAAATATTGTTTTACATTAAGTGCCTTATGTGGCATACCTTTGTTTTTTTAATTTGCATTTTGTTTAAAATGTGTTATCCTTTAAACAATAGCTAGAAACGTAGAAATTTTAATTTTTTCCAGTTCTTAACAGTCTAAAACTGTACAGGTTGCCAGGCATGGTAGTACACGCCTGTAATCTCAGCACTTGGGAGGTTGAGGCAGGAGGATTGCCTCGAATTCACAGCCAACCTGCATTACAAAGTGAGACCTTATCTCAAAAAAATAAAATGAAATAAAATTGTATAGCCTATAGAAATATAAGATTTTTGAATTATTCATTTCTTTAAACCTTTTCTGAGTATGAGGACCTTCTTCCTAATAAAAAGTTTACCATATTCATCCTAACCCCCCAATCATAAGTGGTTATAAACTTTGAGAAAATCCACATAAAATAAGTTATTGAATTCAGAAGTACTTATCTTAATGGTATGTTTTTTAAAATAGCTACATAGGTGTTTGAAACATAGTTACTTGATACAGATTCATGAATTCTACATTAACTTAGTTGGTTAGGACTAGAAATCTAATCCTGTGCCTTCATGTTATATCTAAAAAAAATGAGGTTCAGAGATAAATGATTTATGCAAAGATGCGGCTTTTTGTGTTAGAATGAACTCTTGTCACTGGGGTTTGCGCTTTTATTTCCATTGCCAATAGCAAACAATTATGTCTTATTAAGTGCTTTTAAAATTACCTGAGGAATTGTCTTTTGAAAGGATTGTGCTTTTTTTTTTAAATTGGATCAGAAAAAGGAGATGTGAAATCAAAGACTGAAGCTTTGAAGAAAGTAATCATTATGATCCTGAATGGTGAAAAGCTTCCTGGACTTCTGATGACCATCATTCGTTTTGTGCTACCTCTTCAGGATCACACCATCAAAAAATTGCTTCTGGTATTTTGGGAAATTGTTCCTAAAACAACTCCAGATGGGAGACTTTTACATGAAATGATTCTTGTGTGTGATGCTTACAGAAAGGTAAACCAAACCATTATTTCTGAATATTGCTTTAATTTTAAATAATTGTAAAATTGGTGAATGGGCTTTGTTTTAGTCTTTAAAATTAAATCTTTGTTAAAATGTAAGTTGGAGATACTGTATTTGGATTTAAAGTTGTAAAGATTTATTGTAAAAAGTTCTATTGTTAACTTTTTCAGACATTTTCTATGCATTTTATATATGTGTATTATAAATTAAGTATAGCAACACACATAGTATATAAGACAACAATGAGATAGGTAAAAACTACTTTATAATGAACAGGAATCTGATGAAAATTGTTTGATAGTCTAGGTTTCCTGAAACTTATTTTTTTTTCATTGGAAAGTTTTGCATTTAAAAATTGATTTTTATAAGCTGGAACTCAGCATTTCATATTTAATTTTTATATCAGGATCTTCAGCATCCTAATGAATTTATTCGAGGATCTACTCTTCGTTTTCTTTGCAAATTGAAAGAAGCAGAATTGCTAGAACCTTTAATGCCAGCTATCCGCGCTTGCTTGGAACATCGACACAGCTATGTTAGAAGAAATGCTGTTTTAGCCATCTATACTATCTATAGGTAAATAAAGATATTCTTTTGGCTTAGTTCTGTGAGAACTTGTTAGTCTTTTAGACTTGAGGCTCCAAAGTGATTGCTTGCAGACTATATGAATTTGTGGATATGTTTTGTTCACCACCACAGTATTTTTCTGTTAATATTGTCAACATTGAAAAGTCAGAAAATAACTGGCTATGAGGACGAAACTTTCTTAATGAAAAGAGTTATAGTTCTTAATTGATTCTTGTTCTTAGAAAAGTGGAGATTTTGGACTTTAAAAACAGTTGAACTAGTTAGCTAAGTTAGAATGCTTGGGTTTTACAATCACTGGTATCAATATTTTCCCTTTCTTTCTTTCATCCCTCCTTCCCCCTCCCCCCC